TCTTGATTTCCACTTCTCTGATAGAACTTCTGGTGTCATGGAGGTCCAGCAGGCCAGCCTCACGTTCTTTGTCCAGCTCCTTCCCAATGCCACTGGAACGCTGAAGGTGAAAGTCCTTGTGCCAGGTCTACGTAACACCAACCTCAGTTTGGCTTCCCAACACCTGCTGGAGGTGGATGCCACTGGCTGGTACCAGCTTCTCCTGGGGCCTGAAGCCCAGGCTGCCTGCAGCCAGAGGCACCTGACCCTGGAACTGGTGCCTGAAGGGCAGACAGCTCAGGGCTCGGTTGTCCTGGATGGGACTGCCCACAGGCCTTTCGTGGCAGCCCGAGTGAGAGTTGGGGGCAAGCACCGGGTTCGGCGGCGGGGCCTTGACTGCCAGGGTGGGTCCAGGATGTGCTGTCGACAAGAATTCTTTGTGGATTTCCGTGAGATTGGCTGGCACGACTGGATCATCCAGCCTGAGGGCTATGCGATGAACTTCTGCACCGGGCAGTGCCCGCTGCATGTGGCAGGCATGCCTGGCATTGCTGCCTCCTTTCACACGGCAGTGCTCAATCTGCTCAAGGCCAACACAGCTGCAGGCACTGCTGGAGGGGGCTCGTGCTGCGTGCCCACGGCCCGACGCCCCCTGTCTCTGCTCTATTATGACAGGGACAGTAACATCGTCAAGACTGACATACCTGACATGGTGGTAGAGGCCTGTGGGTGCAGTTAGTCTATGCTGGCACCACCCAGGCGGGGCAGGGTGGACAAACCTGCCCCGACAGGGATCCCTTTCCTGGAGACGAAGGTGTGGCCCCAGAAGGTCGATGCTCTCTTCCTGAGAAACCCATGATCCCACCTTTGAGTAAGACGACCTTCATCTAGGAAGAATAGCATCTCCATATACACTCGCGTCTCTCCTGGAGCACAGTCCACCCAACAAGCTCACATGTCCCCCCCACCCCAAGGATGCTGATGTACTTCCAGTCTTGAATGGGGCTGTCTGGTTCTTACAAAGATGGCCTGAGACCACCCCCATCAACCGACTCCATAGCCCACTCTGCCCTGCTCAAGGATGAATTGATCCAGCTGGGTTTTCTGAATCTCCAGAGAGTCCCTTCCTGGGGCTCACCGAAGATTAGATGACTGTTTTTCAAAGTGAGGCTTACGTCACCTCTCCATGCTCAATATGTCTTGAGCCCTCCCCTCTTCCCAGGTGGTCTACCGATGCTTGTGGGAAACAGAAGGATTTCTCTCAAGATGTCTCCCCCAAATATATATCAGACTTAGCTGCTTGAGAATGACTGTACACCTGGAGGTCATCAGGAGTGGATTGGGGGTCATTCTCCCTGAGAGTTATCAGCTGTCTAGACCAAGCAGACACCACTGTTTAT